GTTTTTATCATCTTCGCCGTCTTCCTTATTATCTTCTGGCTGTTCACCTTCTTCAAAGTCCCAGAGACCCGAGGCAGGACTTTTGAGGACATCTCACGGGCCTTTGAAGGGCGAGATCAGGACGCCGCAGGATCCGGGAAGAGCCCAGCCATGGAGCTGAACAGCCTGCAGCCTGGGAAGCAGCAGGCCACAGGCGTGTAGGCCACCTCCACCAGGACTGCGGACAGCGACCCTCTGAGGCCGCCTTCAGCCCACAAACCTAGGACTGTTACAGTGCTGCTGCCCGTGCCTGTCTCCCCCTCAGCAAGCCCTGGCTTACAGGCCAGTGCCCGGGCTTCTCAAAGCGTATCACTTGTTGGACCTTCTCCCGTGGCACCAGCCAGGTGACCTCCCCTCACTGGGCCACACACCCCTCTTCTGCCGTGAGGGCCAGCTCTGCTCGGGTGCAAGGGAAAGCTGTGGATTCCACACCTCAGTTCTCAGGCACTTGGGTTGTATTTATTTTATCTCCTGGTTTTACTGCATAAATATTTATTTTTTTAAGTAAATTTTACCAAACAGTGAAGACATAAGGAAATGGAGGTGAGAGGCCTTTAAAGAAAGGCTATAGATAAAGCAGGTTTGATACCAGAGCAAGCAAGGTGTGAGAAGGAAAGACTCAGGGAGAAGGGGGGTGCAATGTGGTCCCCAGGAGGGCACCTGCTCCCCACAGTGTCTGCATCTCTCACAGGAGACTTCGTTACACTTCATTTCAGGAAAGTCATGTGCCTGCAGAGAAAAACTACTGGTTACCTTTGGAAGTTTGCTTTAAAATTATAGTTTATATACATATATATAGTATTACTTGAAATCCGGGGCTGTTACTAAGATGGGCATTGTCATTACATGCAGTAGATGGATTTTTATTTCAAGAGTCCAGACAAGAGAGGTTGTTTGTAGAAAGCCACCTCCCTACCCTCCCTGGACCAAGCCAATTCTCATTTGTCCTGTAGACCCCACACCCCCACCCTCACCTCTACCCCCACCCTGCTCTCCAGTGAGGGCAAAAAATACTGCTCACTAGAGCTTCATTGTTTCTCCACTTTGTTACAATATTTTGTTGATTTTTGACTTTAACTTATAGCTTTAAAGGAATTCCGAGGAGAACCCTCATGGGTAATTTGGAATTTGAGACCTCAGCTCTGGGAAAAGATTTTTCATGAACGATTGCTGTGTTTTAGTGTGCTGTGTATGGTCAGGGCTTGCCGGTCCACGTCTGTTACCATACCAGGTCACTCTTGTACCATGTTACTGTGACACCCACTAGGTGCCCTCAGGGACCTGACTCCTCTGATGGACACATTTAAGAAGGGAGTAAATGACACTTGGAGAGCAGGAGCGTGTGTTGCTCTGTCATATTGCTCGGGTGGAAGTAGTTCATAGGCCACTTGCTTCGAGTGTTGCTGTCACCTCCTTTTGCATAGAATGTATTAAACCCACCCCTATATGTAGAAGCAACACTGCCTCTGCTGGGTGGTATTTGCACCCAAAACTTGTGATTCAGATTCACCTGCTGTCCTTCAGGAATGGAAGGAGCCACCTCCCTTGGCTGAGGTGGAGGGGGAAGGGGAGAGATGAGGTTGCCTGGGGGTTTGAGGGGCTGCAGGGAGAGGAAGTGGTAAAACTAATTGGAGGGGATCAGATGGTTGGATGGCAGCAGGATATCTGCAGTCATTTTACCCCACCCCCTCGTCCCCTCTGCCCTCCTGCATCTCCCATCTCCCGCTCCTTGGTGCTCACACATTTCAGGCCCTCCGGGCAGACCACAGTGTTGCAGTCCTCGGTTCCCACCATTCCCTGGTCCCTGGGTTTTGGATGAGCACTGTTGCTGGGGGCAGGGCTTTTACAGAAGGTGGCTCCTCATGCCCCACCTCTTCTGCCTGGGTGGTACTGCAGGGTAGAGTTCCCATTTCTCAGTGACCAGGTTGTAAATATTTCCACATGGGTTTTCTACTATTGATGTTACTGTGGTTCTCGGTTTTGAAATAAAAGTTCTAAATGACCTCATTTCTGTGCTTCTTATAACACCATCAGCTTTAATCCTGGCTGAGCTGCTCTTTGCCTGTCATGACCCTGAGCCGTGTTTTTTGGTTTGTTTTTTTCTTTTTTTTTTTTAGTGGAACCAGGGATTGAACTCAGGCCTTTGTGCTTCCCAGGGAAGTGCTTACTCCACTGAGCTATCTCGCCAGCCCTGAGCCATGTTTTTTAGACCTTCATACAGAAAACTAGCAGGGCTTACGCAGATCACATGAAAAGGCTTGTCTTGTTTTCTCATTGAAAATACAATGTACTCGGGCTGGAGAGATGGCTCAGTGGTCTAAAGCACCTACTTGAAACAAGCTTGGCAAAGCACAAGGACCACAGTTCAATCCTCCAGCACCACATGCCAGCCAGCCCCGCCCCCTGGTGGGCTGAGCTGGCCACACACAATAAAAATAAATATTTAAAAAAAAAAAAGAAAATACAATGTACTCAACACCCGAATTTAAAGGGGAAGATTCATTCAGCTCCATTTCTGTCCATAGTTGCTCAGAGGAGCTTCACAAAGTAGAAACAGCTCCTGGAAGAAAACAGCAAAGCAAAAGGCAGCCACAGCTCTTCTCAACCCACGTACCTTCCCAGGCTGTTTAGGGAGGGTAGCACTTGCTCTTAAGCCCAGTGTCCTGGAGCCTAGCGTTGCACCATGAGTCCCAGCGTCACACTCTGGATCCAGCTCCTAACACCTGCAGCCTAAGCGATGCCATCTTGCAGCAGCACTGCAGGATGCGCCACAACCCTTAGCAACTTTGGGGCTTTGCCATCATTGGACCTGTAGTAGCTATTGATCTGGATAGCCCACAATCATTGTTTCTCTCTGCACCATTGTCAGCAGCCCCTGTGATAACCCTTCCCCCTGGGCCAGACGTCACCCCCACCCCCAAAGCCAATGCCCGCTTCCTAGAGATGGTGCTGGGTCCCTGGATTCCATCTCCCTTTCTCCCACAGGAGCTGGGAGCTAGGGAGAAAGTGCAGCTTGCCCTTTTCCTTTTCTTCGTTCAAGTGCATCACTTCGCCTTCTCCAAGGGCTCTGATTTTCCCTTCAGATCCTTCTTGAGTCCCAGGGATCCACCTTCCTTCTTTCTTTCCTCTGTTGTCTTCCGGTGTCTGAATTAAAATCTCCAAAGGCTGCTCTGTTCTGCCATTTTGTCCTGCCTCCCCTACCCCACTTTTTGTAAGACAAAGCCTCCCCAAATTTCCCAGGTACCACTTTCAATCCTCCGTGAAGCTGCCAAGCACTGGGATTACAGACCCATCTAAGTGGGTTGATAGTCTTTGCTATAATAAGCTTGGGATCTGTGCATGGTTTCATCCTCTGGTGGCAGCCAGCTACTTAAATGCCACTTAAGTCAAGTAGCATCCTAAGAGTAAGGGCAGGGGCTGGGGAGATGGCTCAGTAGAATAAGTGCTTCCCTGGCAAGTGTAAGGGCCTGAGTTCAATCCCTGGTTCCGCAAAAAAAAAAAAAAAGTAAGGGCAATGGACAGGCGCTTCCTCTTAATGCATTCATATTCTACACAGGTTAGGTAAGACCCAAATCACAAACTTGGAAGGGCTGGCAAGATAGCTCAGCAGACTAAGCACCTGTTGAGGCAAGCAAAGGGACTGGGGTTCGATTCTCAGTACTGCATGCTGAACTGGGCACTGAGACCAGACCTGGTGCTGCATGCCTGTAACCCCAGCAGTGGGGAGGCTGAAAACAGTAAGATCACTATGAGTCCCAGCTGCATAGTGAGACACTGCACCAAATACATTAAAAAATAAAAGCGATAAACTTGGAGGCAGAATATTTTGAGCACCAGGAGGTGAATGTAAAGATGGAAAGATAGTTATAGTGAGCTGGATGCGTAAGTGAGTTCTAAAGACCTTGGGCCGGGGAGATGGTTCAGTAGAATAAGCACTTCCCTGGCAAGCACAAGGGCCTGAGTTCAATCCCTGGTTCTGCAAAAAAAAAAAAAAAAAAAAAAAAAGACCTTGGTGCTGGGTGTGTACAATGAGGAGGAGACACTACAGCTGGGGCAAGAGCAGGTGTGTGGAGGAGTGGGCAGCCCGTGCACAATCACACCTGGCTATTTTATATGTAACATTTTATTCAACATATAGAGGTTGCATCTCTTCCTCCTCCTCCTCCTCCTCTTCTTCCTCCTCCTCTTCTTCCTCCTCCTCTTCCTCTTTTTTTTTTTTTTTTGTTACCAGACATCAAACTCAGGACCCTGTGCTTGCAAGCCAGGTGCTTAGGCCACTGAGCTATCTCCCTGGCCCGAGTGCATTTTCTTTTCCAACACAGATGGAAGGAACATCAATACAATCAATTATATGTAAAACCAGGCATCAAGCCTTAGACCCCCCCTCTTTTTTGCCGGGGGAAGGGGGTTTCAGGAATCAAACTCAGGGCCTCATACTTGGCAGGCAGGCCCTCGTGCTGTCGAGCTGTATCTCCAACAAGCCTTAACAGATTCCAGAGGAACAGTGTATCCAGTGCCCACACACCATGCATTATGATAGGATACTAATAAAATACACAAGCAAAAAAAAAAAAAAAGAAGAAGAAGAAGAAAAGAAAGAGGGCTGGTGAGATGGCTCAGTGGTCTAAAGCACCTACTTAGAACAAACTTAGCAAAGCACAGGGACCACGGTTCAATCCCCCAGCATCACATGCCAGCCAGCCCTGCCCCCTGGTGGGCTGAGCTGGCCACACACACACACACACAAAAGAAGAAGAAGAAAATACACAAGGAATGGTGGTGCACACCGACACTCCCAGCACACAGGAGGCTCAGCACGAGGATCTCTGCTAGCTCAATGCCCACCTGGACTACAGAATCAATTCAAGAACAGCTCGGACTACATAAAGAAACCTTAACTTAAAAAAAATAAATTGAAAGTCCAGGGAAATAGCTTGGTGGTCTCATCGACTACCTGGCAAGCACAAGGGCCTGAGTTCAATCCCCAGTTCCGCCAAAAAAAAAGGAAAAGAAAAGAAAAGAAAAGAAAAGAAAAGGGAGGGTTGGGGGCCAGGGAGATGGCTCAGTACAATAAGTGCTTGGCTGGCAAGTGCAAGGGCCTGAGTTCAATCCCTGATTCCACCAAAAAAAAAAAAAAAAAAAAAAAGAAAAGAAAGAAAGAGGAAAAAAAAAAAAAGAAAAGAAAAGGGAGGGTTGGCGAGATAGCTCAGAAGGGTAAGGGCCTGCTTAGGCATTCGCAGGGACCAAGGTCCAATCACCCGCACCACATGTTGTGCTGGCCCCGACCCCAGGCACACTGCACACCTGTAATCCAGCACTGGGAAGGGTGAAAACAGGCCAATCACTATGAGTCCGAGCTGCGTAGTGAGACCCTGTGCCAAATACATTTAAAAAAAGGAGGAGGAGGA